AAACATCATCATCAACAACATCAACAATATCAATATCAATAATCCAAAAATACAAAAAGTCATTCGCGTCGTCTCATCGTTAAGCCACAATCCAATATCATTTTCCGTTCTTCCATTCCTGTCGTCATTACCAATTATTGCACTTCTTGTTCGAACGCCTTCTCAAACAGCCAAGTCTTTAGTTTCCTGCGGAATATCATCAGGGAAGGAGCCAGTCTGATGTCCACGGGAAGGGTGTTCCACAGCCGAGGAGCCACCACTGAGAAGGCCCTGTCTCTCGTCCCCGCCAGGCGTGCCTGTGAGGCAGGCGGGATCGAGAGCAGGGCCTCCCCAGATGATCTCAAAGTCCTCGTGGGCTCATAGGCCTTCCTTAAGGAAAAGAACAGATCACTGATGGGGTGCTGCTCCCCACAGTATTCTAGCTATATTTCTCTATAGCTACCCTGAATACTAAACAAAAGACTGACCCAAAGTCCTTCTTCTAAACCCCAAACTGCTCTCACTAACACCCTTTCCAAGCTCCAACTCTCAACTCCAAACTCTCAACTCCAAACTGGCAATCTGAGAATTCAAGCCTCAGTTTAAAAATCACTTTTTTCCTTCAGATCACTTAGGCTCCGCCCCCATTGTTCTAACCAATCTTAATCTTCTGGTTTTCCCGCCAAGACTAGAACATGCCCTCTTAAGGCAAACCTAACCTAAGATGGCATCTCCCTGTCTCCCTTCTCCAAAATGGATACTGTAGCTTCACCAGGCCCACTCTCCTAGGTCTAAGCTAGCTTGCCAAGGTAAGGGATTCATTACAGAGCTCCACCATAGAAGCTGATTTTAAAAGTCCATGAGTCAAAAGTTTATGAATTGCTGGTCTAGTCCATATTTTAGTAGCTTGTTTGCAAGAATGTAGTGGAAAACCTTGTCAAAAACCTTGCTGAACTCAAGCTATGCTACATTAATACCACACATATCATAGTGGGATGGTTATAATCACCTACACATTTCTTGTGACTAACTCATTAGAAGTATCTTCATTTCTAATCTGCTTTCTTTTTTCCACCATTCATGCAAATAAATGTATTTTCTGTTAAGTAGAAGTGTGCTAGTAAATGGCCACACACAAATGATTTCCAGCAGCAGCATCTGCACAGCTGGTTAATCACTAGCAGCAATAAATCACAAATTCAAAGCCTGAGTCGGATTTGGGCTCCCGACTGTTAATAACCCAGCTTACTGTTTAGCTAAGCAGTTCGAAAACAGCTGAGCTGCGAGTAGAGAAATTAGGGACCGCTTAAAACAGGAAGATTAATTTATGACACCATAAAAATGCCGAAGATCAACGAGCAAGGAGGAAATACTACGATCAAAGTTGGTTAATCACTAACAGCAATAAATCACAAGTTCAAAGCCCGAGTCGGGTTTGGGCTCCCGACTGTTAATAACCCAGCTTACTGTTTAGCTAAGCAGTTTGAAAACAGCTGAGCTGTGAGTAGAGAAATTAGGGACCGCTTAAAACAGGAAGATTAATTTATGACACCATAAAAATGCCGGAGATCAACGAGCAAGGAGGAAATACTACGATCAAAGGCTTGGCATCATAGTGAATGAAGCGACAGCTCTCCCTGTGGTTGAATCAAGCAACCTCCAGGAGCCGAAGTTGGAAAAAATGCTGGATTCCCTCTATCTGTCTGTATGTCTTGTATGTCTAAAAAATGCATTGAATGTTTGCCGTGTATGTGTGCATTGTGATCCACCCTGAGTCTCCTTCAAGGTGAGAAGGGTGGTATATAAATACTGTAAGTGAATAAATAAATCTGCAGAACCAATTGCTCACTTTGCATTCTGCCACATGCAGAGGGTTACTGGTTGAATAAGTGCAAGAATGTTAATTCTGGGGTGCCCATCTGTTTTGGTTACTTGTTTCTGCACATAGCCATGATAACTTGTTGAATTCAGCACAATCGTCCCTTCCCATGATCCTTAGTTATTAGGAACACATGCATTATCTGGGTTGTTGTAGGTTTTTTGGGGCTATATGGCCATGTTCTAGAGGCATTCTCTCCTGATGTTTTGCCTGCATCTATGGCAAGCAACCTCTGTAGGATGCTTGCCATAGATGCAGGCAAAATGCCAGGAGAGAATGCTTCTAGAACATGGCCATATAGTCCGGAAAAACCTACAACAACCCAGTGATCCCAGCCATGAAAGCCTTCAACAATTCATGCATTATCTGTTGACATGTTTAAATACAATAACTATATGTTACACTGTGATAAATTTTCCATTTTACTTCTTTGATTTCCAATTTTCTAATTTTGCAAATTTGTGGCCAATGTGTTCCATTTAATTTAAGACACTATTCAAGATTCAGACACATTAACTATAATTTTTCTCATTTGCTTTTCTTAGTGTTAGAAACACCATACAGTGGCGGCGGGGGGGGGGGGGGGATATTTAGTCAGATACCAATTGCACAAGTTCTCCCACTTAAAATCACATTGTCTGATTTTTAATGCAAATTATGGTGGAAAATAAGTATTTGGTCCATAACAAAAGTTCATCTCAATACTTTGTTATATATCCTTTATTGGCAATGACAGAGGGCAAACATTTTCTGTAAGTCTTCACAAGGTTGGCACACACTGTGCTGGTATATTGGCCCATTCCTCCATGCAGATCTTCTCAAGAGCAGTGACGTTTTGGGGCTGTCACTGGGCAATACGGACTTTCAACTCCCTCCAAAGGTTTTCTATAGGGTTGAGATCTGGAGACTGGCTAGGCCACTCCAGGACCTTGAAATGCTTCTTACGAAGCTACTTACGTTGCCCTGGTGGTGTGCTTGGGATCATTGTCATGCTGAAAGACCCAGCCACATTTTATCTTGCTGATGGAAGGAGGTTTGCACTCACAATCTCATGATACATGGTCCCATTCATTCTTTCATGTATACGGATCAGTTGCCCTGGTCCCTTTGCAAAGGAACAGCCCTAAAGCATGATGTTGCGACTCCCATGCTTCACAGTAGGTACGATGTTCTTTGGATGTAACTTAGCATTCTTTCTCCTCCAAACACGAGTTGCGTTTCTACCAAACAGTTCTACTTTGGTTTCATCTGACCATATGACATTCTCCCAATATTCTTCTGGATCATCCAAATGCTCTCTAGCAAACTTTACTCAGCCCCAGACATGTATGGCTTAAGCAGGGGGACACATCTGGCACTGCAGGATCGGAATCCCTGGCGACGTAGTGTGTTACTGATGGTAGCCTTTGTTACATTGGTCCCAGCTTTCTGCAGGTCGTTCACTAGGTTCCCCCATACGGTTCTGGGATTTTTGCTCACCGTTCTTGTCATCATTTTGACCCCATGGGGTGAGATCTTGCGTGGAGCCCCAGATCGAGGGAGATTAGCAGTGGTCTTGTATCTCTTCCTTTTCCTAATTATTGCTCCCACAATTGATTTCTTCACACCAACCTGCTTGCCTACTGCAGATTCAGTCTTCCCAGTCTGGTGCAAGATGACAGTTTTGTTTCTGGTGTCCTTCAACAGCTCTTTGGCCTTCACCATAGTGGAGTTTGGAGTGTGCCTGCTTGAGGTTGTGGACAGGTGTCTTTTATATAGCTGCCATTACTACAAATAGGTGCCATTACTACAGGTAATGAGTGGAGTACAGAGAACCTCCTAAAGAAGACGTTACAGGTCTGTGAGACCCAGAAATCTTGCTTGTTTGTAGGTGACCAAATGCTTATTTTCCACCATAATTTGCAATTAAATTCATTAAAAATCAGACAATGTGATTTTCTGGATGTGTTTTCTCGTGTTGTCTCTCATAAGGTCTACTGTTAAGGTCTACTGTTAAGTTAAGGTCTACTGTTCTGTCGCGCGCTGGGCTTGAAACGAATTGCTTTTAAAACAGGACGTGTAACTTTAGCCCAGCGGGAAGCCAGGGGGCCCGAAGAGAAATTCATAAGGATTTTCACCATAAACAGTCTTTAGAGGACTTGTGAAATATAACAAAGTCTTTTTTTGGTGAACAATCAACAGAAACTTCCTTTGTCTTCAAAAGGTTAAACAAATGCTTCCAGGCTTTGTGCAACTGGTGGCTTCTAACTGTTACTTTTACTCTAAAGGAAAATCCCTTTCCAAACTTCTCCCAGGCTAACTGTGAACCTAAACTTAACTGATGTGGGCTCCACTACCGGGTTGAACTGCGTCTCAAAGCACCGAGTGGACCTACCAGTAGGCCTGTAGTCACTTCAGCTGGACTTCATAGATATTCAAAGCTGTTTTTCCCTCCGAAATTCCTCAGAGCTTTAGGGCTGTTTCCCTGGGAATCTTTGGGAATCCCTTTGCTCTTAAGACTGTTCTCCCCGGGAGGTCTTAAGGGTTGAAGCCTTTGTACAGGAGAAGTCTGTATACATCCTGTACATTGACTTTACTTGCTGAGACTGACTGAAAATGCCTCCCTTCCCTTCACAATTGTCCTGAACAGGGGGCGGAACCAAACTTAACGATTGCCCTATAACTGCAAACTTTAACAGGAAGCCACCCTTCTGCCGAATCCCAAGCCTTGGGCTGCAAGCAAACACTTAATACAAGGCAAATAAAGTGGGAGCTTCTGGTACAGCTGTACCAGCACATCTACATATGATGTCAATTACAGGCCTCTCTCATCTTTTTAAATGGGAGAACTTGTACAATTGGTATCTGACTATATACCTCCCCCCCCCCACTGTATAACCAAATGTGTTTATTATGGACCACAGTTCATATTCACTGAGAACCATTCTGAAGATTGGTGTGCTGTTAATTTTGTGTAGTTACGATAACATTGTTTGCAAAGGATGTTCTGCTGACTGCACAATGAATTTTAATTTGAGCCCATATGCCTTAGAATAAGACTATGCAAACATTCATAGCATGATAACTTGTAGGCACCATGTTTTTAGCTCTGCATAACCAAGTCCTGTTCCTCCTAATGAATGCTTGTTTTCCTTTGCCTTAGGTGACTCACTGGCATAGTCCATACTTCTTTGCCTACTTTCCAGCTGCCAACTCTTTTCCAGCAATTCTGGCTGACATGCTGTCTACGGGCATTGGATGTATTGGATTTTCTTGGGTAAGAAAGTTCTTTGTAAATGTGTCCTGTAGATCATTACAACACAAAAATGTATGGGGAAAGTTATACAAATGAACAGTCACTTAAGCCATTTGTTCCTGGTTTCTTGGATTCCTTTGAACTTTAAACTTAAAGCCCCGGGCTCCTCTTTCCTCTCCCCCCACCCTCCCAAACTGCCTATGAAGTGATTTTTTAACCAGCCAGACTCAAAACTGACTGCAGATAACTTGCAAAGCTCTTAAAAATATTAAAATCTGCATTCAATTTCTTCTACCACCAGTGTAGAAAAAGGGCAAAGTCTTGCCCCTTAGAGTAGGATCAGCAAAAGAGGCAAAGTCAACAGATGTTGATGCACTTGAGTTTTGGAATGAAACTGTGAAACCCTAGTTGCTTCTTTCAGTAAACAAAGAGAACTAATATAGCAACTTATTTAGAGAGGCTTTCCTTGACGTTATTCTCCTTGAATTACAACACCTCCAGAATAATTCATCAGACTTTCTCCTAATCTCTCTCAGATAGAATCCAGATTCTCCCTTGAATGATTTTAAATAGATTTCCCCGTTTAAATTTCCCAAAATTAGGATTAATATTATGGAGAAGCACAACCTCTGAGGCTCTTTCCACACAGCAGAATAAATTCCCACATTTTCTGCTTTTAACTGGGATATATGGCAATGTAGACTTCACTTCACTTTATTTCTTAATTAGTCGCTCTTCACCAAGGTGCTCCGAGCGACTTACAGTCTAAAATAGCATTTACACAATATAAAAACATTCAAAGTAAAAACATTCAACAGTGACTATTTGGCAAATTAGATCTGATTACTTAAATGCACAACCAAACAGCCAAGTCTTGAGTGCCTTTACAAAAGGTCGCAACTCCGACATTGCTCTAATGTATGGAGGCAATGAGTTCCACAGAATTGAAGCATAGGTCGAAAAAGCTATACGCCTTGTAGCTTCCAGGTGTACCTCCCTAGGGCCCAGTATGTATAGGAGATTTTCTTGGGTGGATCGAGGTGACCACTGATGGAGAAAAGGAATGAGGCGATCCCTAAGATATAAAGGTCCTTGGCCATTTTGAGCTCTAAATGTCAGGATCAGTATCTTGTAAGAGATCCGATGTTCTATTGGTAGACTCAGATATCCCAATTCAAAGCACATATTGTGGGATTTTCTGCCTTGATATTCTGGGTTATACGGCTATGTGGAGGGGCCCTGAAGATGCCTGCCATAGATGCAGGTGAAACGTCAGGAGAGAATGCTTCTGGAACATGGCCAGACAGCCCAGAAAGCTCACAGCAATCCAGCAATCATAGCATTTTTTCCCCAGCTTTGAAAAAAGAAACAAGGCAGGGCTTAGTTTATATGTGGAAGGAATAGTGATGGGTTTTGACTTTTGGAAATGAAGGGGCTTAAAGCAAGAGCTTTCTCCTTTCCTTCCTCAATGACAGCAAAATGCATGCACCCCCCTTCCCATGCATGGGTGTCCATGCGCTTGCTCCTCTCCTTTGGAGGAAAGGCCCTGCCCCCTTTCTCCCTCTCTCCCTCCTTCTCAAACTCCCTCCACTCTCTGATGACACGGGTTGTGTCCCACCACAGCCATCTGTGAAGCCTGAGCCGGCTGGCACCATCCTGGTTCTTTCAGAAGGAATGCCTTCCCTTTAAAAAAAGAAAAGAAAGACAAAAGGAGGAAAAGAGAAAGGGGAAGGAGGGGGAAGAGAAGGAGGGAACCAACAAAGGAAGACAGGAGCAACAGCAACGGAAGATAGGAGCAATTCCCAAACAATCGGGGGTGCCTCAAGACCGCCACTCGGGGATTCCCGCTATACGCAAATGCGTATCTTGCCTATTGCTTCAGCCGCCTCTGACCATCATGTCTCATCTCAGCCTTCTCTTCTGCAGGCTAAGCATGCCCACCTCTTTAAACCCACTCCTCTTAGGGATTGTTCTCCAGACTCTTGATCATTTTAGTTGCCTTCCTCTGGACACATTCCAGCTTGTCTACATCTCCTTTCAATTGCAGTGTCCAAAATGGGATACAGTATTCCAGGTGTGTCTGATCAAGGCAGAATAGAAGGGTAGCATGACTTCCCTGGATCTAGACACAAGACTCCTATTTATGCAGGCCAAAATCCCATTAGCTTTTTCAGCTGCCACATCACATTGTTGGTTCATGTTTAACTTGTTGTCCACGAAGACGCCTAACATATCTCAACTCTCTTCAGTTCTTTCTGTCAATTTGTTGAGATGTTCACACCTTATTCTTAAAAAGGTTTTGTATACTGGATAGCTGCTTTTCTTCAGTCCCTTCTTTTGATTTACTAATTTTGTGCTATAACTTACTGTTGACTCATGTTTGGCTGTTTTCAAGCTAGATATCACTCATTCTTTATCAGTGCATTACATTTTTTTTCTTGCCTAAGTGTACTTTTAACATTTCTCCTCAGCTTGGAAGGAAGGAAAAATATAGGAAGATTAGGAAAGTAAATGTTAAAGAAAAAGAAGTACCATTGTGATGATTATGATTATAAAATTCAATTTTTTTTAAATCTCCTCAGCTCCAGTGCTACAATGTGTATAGCTTCTTGCTTTCCCACTACCATGAAAATTACAGGTGCACATCAGTTAATGCTATAGCTGCATTCTTGAACATTACTTCTTTAACAAATATAAGAGATACGAGAGGCAAAAAGAGGGATAGTGTTGCACCTTACTTACTTACTTACTTACTTAGGCGATCCCTCGTTGGATGAGTAAAATGGTCTTCCATTATGGGTTCCTTGTGGGTCCGCATGTGGCTGTGGACCCTATTCTTGCTCTGCTCTTCTCTCCGCAGTGTGGGCATTGGTTTCCAGGTGGAAGGCGGTCCCGGTCGGTTGGCTTGATGCGCCTTCCTCCTGGCACATTTCTCTCTTTCCTCCACCATTCGTGCCTCTTCGAATTCTGCAGCACTGCTGGTCACAGCTGCTCCAGCTGAGCACTCAAGGGTCAGGGCTTCCCAGTTCTCGGTGTCTATGCCTGTTTTAAAGGTTGGCTTTGAGCCCATCTTTAAATCTCTTTTCCTGTCCACCAACATTCCGTTTTCCGTTCTTAAGTTCGGAGTAGAGCAACTGCTTTGGGAGACGGTGGTCAGGCATCCGGACAACGTGGCCGGCCCAGCGGAGTTGATGTTGGAGGACCATCGCTTCAATGCTGGTGGTCTTTGCTTCTTCCAGCACACTGACGTTTGTCCGCTTGTCTTCCCAGGAGATTTGCAGGATTTTCTGGAGACAGCGCTGATGGAATCGTTCCAGGAGTTGCATGTGACGTCTGTAGACAGTCCACGTCTCACAGGCATAGAGCAGGGTTGGGAGGATAATAGCTTTATAAACAAGCACCTTGGTATCCCTACGGATGTCCCGGTCCTCAAACACTCTCTGCTTCATTCGGGAAAATGCTGCACTTGCAGAGCTCAGGCAGTGTTGTATTTCGGCGTCGATGTTGACTTTGGTGGAGAGGTGGCTGCCAAGGTAGCGGAAATGGTCAACATTTTCTAATGCTACACCATTAAGTTGTATCTCTGGCATTGGGGAGGGGATGGCTGGTGACTGCTGGAACAGCACTTTGGTTTTCTCGATGTTCAGTGACAGGCCAAGCTTCTCGTATGCTTCTGCGAAGGTGTTTAGAGTGGATTGTAGATCTTCTTCTGTATGCGCACAGACGATATTGTCATCAGCATACTGGAGTTCTATAACAGATGTTGTTGTAACTTTAGTTTTGGCTTTCAGTCTGCTGAGGGTTGTGTGTTTTAAAAGTAAGCACCATATTCTTCGAGTAAGCAACATATTCTTTTACTCAATTTGTTGGTTTCTTTCTCTACCTAGGCTTCAAGTCCAGTATGTACAGAACTGGAAACAATTGTTCTGGATTGGCTCGGCAAGATGATCGATTTGCCACCAAAGTTTTTGGCGGAGAAGAATGGTCAAGGGGGTGGGGTCATCCAGGTAAGCTTTTCACTTAGTTATTTGTTGGTATATGCTGCAATCGAAGTAACATGTATGTTCAAAAGAATTGTCCATAAGAATATCATTTCAATTCCTTCTACTTTTGAGATATATTTTCACCAGCTTGTACTTATTCAATCAAAACAGCAACCTCCTCGTGGAAAAAGCAAGTCTCGTATTTTGCTATTGATTGTAAGACACAGCCCAATTTCGACACTCCAATTAAGGGGGAAAGGTATTTTTGATTTGAGGATGTTGTTGTTGTTCATTCGTTCAGTTGCTTCCGACTCTTTGTGACCTCATGAACCAGCCCATGTCAGCCGTCACCACCCCCAGCTCCTTCAAAGTCAAGCCAGTCACTTCAAGGATGCCATCCATCCATCTTGCCCTTGGTCGGCCCCTCTTCCTTTTTCCTTCCATTTTCCCCAGCATCATTGTCTTCACTAAGCTTTCCTGTCTTCTCAGATTCTATAATACACACCTTTTATTTGAGCCTTGATTTTTTTAAAAAATATTTTTAATATTCGCACAACTTTATTTCTTTGTATCATTGCCCAGCTATCCTGTCAAGACCCTAGAAAGCCTCCCCAGTGCCACTAGTGTGGTCAATGCACTTGACTTGTCTATTCCAGGCTGCTGCTGGCCTTTGTTGCTGTCCTTGTCTTAGTGTTGCCGGGTTTGTTTTGAAAGGAGAGCATCAGGAATGGTAGAATTGAAAAATCTCTTTTCTTTTAGAAGCAGCAAAAACAAGCTGCTTCCATCTTCTACATGTACTCCTTCAGATATTTCAAGATAGAGGAGGGCGACTAAAATGATCAAGGGTCTGGAGAACAAGCCCTACGAGGAGCGGCTTAGGGAACTGGGCATGTTTAGCCTGAAGAAGAGAAGGCTGAGAGGAGATATGATAGCCATGTATAAATGTGAGAGGAAGCCACAGGGAGGAGGGAGCAAGCTTGTTTTCTGCTTCCTTGGAGACTAGGACGGAACAATGGCTTCAAACTACAGAAAGGAGATTCCATCTGAACATGAGGAAGAACTTCCTGACTGTGAGAGCCGTTCAGCAGTGGAACTCTCTGCCCCGGAGTGTGGTGGAGGCTCCTTCTTTGGAAGCTTTTAAACAGAGGCTGGATGGCCATCTGTCAGGGGTTATTTGAATGCAATATTCCTGCTTCTTGACAGGGGGTTGGACTGGATGGCCCATGAGGTCTCTTTCAACTCTTTGATTCTATGATTCTATGTCATCTCTCAGCCTTGTATTCTTCAAGTTAAACATATCTAATTCTCCAAAATCATACCTTAGAAGGCTTGGTTTCTCCCAGGAGTGTTTTAATTGTATATTCTTGCATGGCTGGGGATTAGACTATTATTTATTTATTTATTATTTGGAGTGTTTCTACCCCGCCCTTCTCAACCCCCGAGGGGGGGACTCAGGGCGGCTTACAAAAGGCACAATTCGATGCCCAACAATTCACAAAATGCAATATACAATTTACAAAATAACGACGACAGTTATAACTAGTTAAAACAATCAAATTAATACAATAGCAGCAATAAAATCATCTTGTGGTTAACGTTCGTCAATTCATAAATCCATAATCCATCCAGCATTGTCATTGCCCTTTCCTACTCTGGTCGCCATTGTCTTTTATTCATCTGCCAGCTTACCCAAAGGCCTGGTCCCATATCCACGTCTTTAGCTTCCTTCTGAAAGAGAGGAGGGATGTTGATGACCTAATTTCCCCGGGGAGTGCATTCCACAGGTGAGGGGCCACCACCGAGAAGGCCCTGTCCCTCGTCCCCACCAGTCTCACTTGTGATAAAGGTGGGGCCGAGAGCAGGGCCTCCCCAGAAGATCTTAAACTCCGAGGTGGGACGTAGAAGGAGATACGTTCGGACAGGTACGCTGGGCCAGAGCCGTATAGGGTTTTGTAGGTCAAAACCAGCACTTTGAATTGTGCTCGGAACTGGATTGGCAGCCAGTGGAGCTGACATAACGAGGGGTGGGGGGTGGTATGCTCCCTGTATGATGCTCCAGTGAGTAATCTAGCTGCCGCTCGTTGGACTAATTGAAGTTTCCGAACAAAGGCAACCCCATGTAGAGCACGTTGCAGTAATCTATTCAGACTAGATGACCCTTGAAGAACCTTCCAACTCTATGATTCTATATAAGCAAAACCCATATATCAGGGGTCCCCAAACTAAGGCCCATGGGCCGGATCTGGTCCCCTAGGTCATTTTACTGGCCCCTGCTCTAAACTTCAGACTACCACCACCATTTGCACTCTTCCTTTACCACCACCCTCTTCTCACTCCTTAACTCTCTTTTTCTTTCCTCTACCACCCTCCAAAATTGATGGAATCCTCTCCACCTCCACTTGCTTCTTAGATCCCCTTTCCTTTCCTCTCCCTGTTCCCTTTAAATGGAGAGAAATCATTTCCAGGTTATTCACCTCCCCTCCAAAACAGAGCGGGAAGGAAGGGAGAAAGAAACAAAAGTACAAAAGGAGGTTGGAAAAAGAGATGGAAGTACAAAAGCAAGAAAGAAAAGTAGGTAAGAAACAGAGAGTAAAGGAAAAGAAGAAAGGGAGAAAGACAGATGAGTAGGAAAAAGAGAGGGAAGGAATGCAGAAAGTGTGACATAGTGATTTGAACCTCAGACTGTGACTCTCAATCTACCAGGTGACTTTAGCCAAGTCACACTCTCTCAGCCTCAGATGAATACAAAGGCAACTTTCTTTTGAATAAATCTTGACAAGAAAACTCTGTGGTAGGGTTGCATTAGGTCACCCTAAGTCTGAAACAACTTGAAGGCACACAACAGCAACAACACACTCTAGTCTAGTCCTCCAACAGTCTGAGAGACCATGAACTGGCCCGCTGCTTAAAAAGTTTAAAGACCCCTGCTGTTCTGCCCCCACGCTATCTTAATTACTTAGAAGGCGAATAGGCTGTGCAGGGAACAGATTGAAGACTATATAGTTGAAACAAAAAATAATTTATTAACTGACAAGAATTTAAGACTTTCTCTCCTCCTGAATCTCACTACAAAGTCTTTATGAGGAGAGGTAAAGTCTTTGAGAGATAGAGACACAGTTCTGGCTAAACTAAGGCTCTTGAATCTTTATTTCTTCTTATTGTCTCTTTCTTGTATGGTGTTCAACTATCTCTAAGATGGTCTCATTATTTAACCCTGACTAAACTTGAAAACAGATCTGACTGAATTTGAATAAAATTCATATAGCGCTGAGTGGACATCCTATTTTATAAATCCTCCAGCCTTTCTCTCTCTTTACCTTACAGTTAGAAAAGGTTGACTCTTCCAAAACCAGAAGTGTCTTGCCTGAGGCTCCCCTCTGAGGGGCTTCTTAAAAGGGCAGGGCAACAGAGGCTTCAAATGCAAAGAAACTGTGCATAAAATATTAATCTTTCTAACTAAAAAGGGCTTAACAAGGGGTAAACATTGAGGGTCTTCATGGGGCATGACACCTGCCTTCTGTGGAAAATAAAATGAAAATGCCAGCCACTTGTGCAGGTGAAACATCAGGAGAAAATGCTGCTAGAAAATAGCCATACAGCCCAGAAACCACACAACACTCCAGTTTAAGGAGCTGCATTGGCTGCCGTTCATCTTCGGTCCCAATTCAAAGCGCAGGTTCTTACCTACAAAGCCCTGAACGGTTTGGGACCTGCCTACCTGCGTGACTGCATTTCTGTGTACAAATCCACACGATCTCTTTGATCATCTGGAGAGGCCCTACTCGCGCTCCCACCTCCATCGCAGGCGCGATTAGTGGGGACGAAGGAGAGGGTCTTCTTGGTGGTGGCCCCCCGACTCTGGAACTCACTCCCCAAGGATATCAGGCATGCCCAACTTTGGAAATTTTTAGGAGGAGCTTGAAAACGTGGTTGTTCCAGTGTGCCTTCCCAGAATAAGGAAACTCTCAGTAATATGTCCCTAATTGCACCTTATTAGTGATCTAGAACTGTCTGTACACCCCATTCTTTTCCGAAATTCTATCCTAGTTATATTTCACCTGGTCTTGTCCAGCATTATTTTTAAAATTTTAACTATTACATTTGGCCCAGCCATTGGTTTTTAAATGTTACTGTGTTATTGTCGATGTTTACTGCCTATTTTTTGTTTATGAGCTTTATTTTATTGTTTTGTATTACTGTTGTTGTTTTTTGCTTATGTATTTTGGGTTCGGCCTCATGTAAGCCGCACCGAGTCCCTTGGGGAGATGGTAGCGGGGTATAAATAAAGTATTATTATTATTATTATTATTATTATTATTATTATTATATTAATATGAATGAAGGTTACAAAGGACCTTTGCCAGAACTTGACCCTTCTTTCACAATTTTGAAATTGAAATAAACCTCTCTGAACCTCTGTTAGGTAGTGAAGCCTTATGTCAGTAAGGTACTTCCTTATGTGGGTTGAAATTGTCCTTTTTATTTCTTGCAATTGCTTGAAAAATGTGTTGCTGTTGCTGAGCAATTATGTCTGTTTACAAAATGGAGTTGCTGACATTTTCAATTGGCAGTTCTGGATTGCCTATAATTTTGGAAGATGCTGTCTCTGCCTCTGCCAGTAATTTGTGGAGCTGATCCTGTCACCTTTTGGTCACAGCAGTAATAAATGGAAGGAAAGACATAACAAAAGTGGGCTTTCTATTGGATTTCCAATCATTCCTGGCTGCAAGACCAGATAAATATTATGGATGTGTCCTGTGGAGATGGATGCTGAATTACCTTAGAAAGGCTAAATCAATATGAAACAGCCTCTTGTTGCCTCAGAGATGATACTTGGGAAAAAATGCAGTGATGAAAGAAAATGTCATGTTGGAGTGACTGATGCCGCATTACTTATCAATATTTCTGCAGTCACCATAATAACCATTTTTCTTAAAGTGCAAGGAAAGTAAAATGAACAATTTATGTGTTGTGTAAGAACTAATAATTGAAACAGGCTTTTGTTACTAGTTGGGAACATTATTTTTGCTGGATGGCATTGTCCAAATGTGCTGGTACTTCTGTACCAGGAGCTCCAACTTTATTTTATTTCTATTAAGTGTTTGCATGCATTCCAAAGTTTCAGGGATTCTGCAAAAAGGTGGCTTCCTTTGGTTTGCAGTCATAGGGCAAGCCACCTGTCTATCATTGTTAATTTTGGATCCGCCCCTTCTCCCAGGGAGATGGGAAGGGAAGAGGGGGCCATTTTTAGTTAGCCTTAGTGAAGAAAGCTAAGTTAGAGGATGTGGACAAGCTTCACCTGCAGAAAAGCTTCATTTCTCAAGACATTCCGGGGGGGGGGGGGAAATTCCCAAAGCTCTGGCTGGGAGCTTGCAGCCTCTCAGCCTTACAGCATCTGAGGGAAACAGCCCTAAAGTCTTAAAGAAATTCCAGAGGGAAAACAGCTTTACAGACCCAAAGAACTCCAGCTGGAGAATCTACAAGCTTTGTCTGGTAGGTTTACTCGGTACCAAGACGCAGTTTGGAATCGGTAGTAGATCCCACACCAACAAAACTTAGATAACAGACAGCCTGGGAGAGGTTAAAAAAGGGTTTTCCTCTCAAAGTATAAGAACAATTAATGAAGACAGTTGCCTGTCCCTTGTGGACAAGATTAAGGAAGCCACCAGTTGATTTAAAGCCTTGAAGCATTTGTTCGACTCATTGAAGATTTGAGAAATATCTGTTTAATTTGATCAATAATAAAGGACTTTGTTTAACCTTTCAAGCCATTTCTTCAGGAAAATCCTTAAGGGCCTCTTTCATGGCGCCCTGGCTTCCCGCTGGGCACAAGGTGCATGTCCTATTTCAAAAGACAGTTATTACAGGCCCAGTGCGTGACACCAAATGAATTTATGTCTTCTTCCCAACAGGGCACTGCCAGTGAGGCTACCTTAGTTGCAATGCTTGCAGCTCGCACCAAAGCCATCCATCGTGTCCTATCAGAAAATGAGAAGCTGACTCCAGAAGATGTCATCGGCAAACTAGTGGCCTATACTTCTGAACAAGTGAGTATTGACCAAGGAAACTATAGTATGGACTGATGTCCTACATAATGCATAAACAATGTAGACTCAGGGTCTGTTATGATATAAAGACCAAGAGCTGACGGTCTGTTTGGTACATAGCACTAGTAGAATCAGGATGCCAGTTAGGTCCTCCATGATCGCAAAAACCTGATACAGATGTTTCCTCAGCACTCTAGGGCAGGGTTTTTGTTTTAGTGGGGTGGGGTTGGGAGATATGGCTACAGATGTGGCGCAGCTGGTTGGGAGTCAGCTGCATTAAGATCACTACTGACCCAAAGGTCATGAGTTCGAAGCCAGCCTGGGTCAGAGTGAGCTTCTGACCAATTTTGCAGCCTGAAAGACAGTTGCTTCTGTTAAGTAGGAAATTTAGGTACCGCATATGCAGGGAGGCTAATTTAACTAATTTACAACACCATAAAAATCTCCAGCAAGCATGCAAAGAATGAGGAAGTACTTCATCAGTGTCACAAATGGACAGTGAAGTGACAGCTCCCCTTATGGCCAGAATACCTTCATCAAAAGCTGGAATGTTAAGTAGCCCTTGTGTCTCTCTATATACGTTGTGTGTCTATGGCATTGAATGTTTGCCCCCTCGATGGACTGTCACTTTGTCATGGTGAGGGGACTTGCGTGTTCCGATGAACCTGTGGGCACAACAACTGGAGTCGTGCTGTGGCTGTGGGGGAGGTTCCAGACCAAGCACAGTCCGAAGACCCAAAGACCTCAATGGCGGAGCAGGCGGACAATAACATGGTACATGTTACAATGGCTGTGAAGGCGGAAGAAGGCTGCAACAGACTGAGAAGTCACGGTAATTGTGTTAAACTACACCACCAGTGGAACCTCACTCTGTGAAGACTGTGTGTTGATCAGTGTGCACTGACCTCCACACATTAAAAAACCTCACGCACAGGCGTCTTCCAAAGAAAATAAAAACAAACCAACAAAAGTCCCATGACGATCAGCGAGTGGCGACGGGGGCAGGACTGTGAAATCTAGAAGCCCCTAGTCACAGACTGGCACATGGGCGGTGGGTACAGACTCAGTCATTCTACTTCAAGGTCCGAGGCAATTGAGTAGTTCGGCAGCTGTATCCACGACTGAGCAGCCCTTTTGAGGATGCACTCTGCTCACCCCACACGGGGAGAGGACTAGAAAAGGTGCCCTAAACATAGTCTGCCTCTCTTATCCCTGACTGGACTGCCGTGTCCAGTGGGGTCACCACCCTGTGGCCAAAAAAGAAAAATGAACTTTGGTACATGGAACGTACGGATGGACTACACCAACAGTGAATGCCCCAAACGCAGAACTACTATCGTTACAAGGGAGTTGGGATGCTTTAACATCAACATAGCAGCCCTTCAGGAGACCCGGAGAGCAGGAGGGGGACAGCTGAAGGAAGAAAAAGGAGGCTACACCTTCTTTGGGAAGGGACTGCCCAAAGAAGACCAAAGAATGCATGGAGTTGGCTTTGCTATCAGAAATGATCTGGTGAAACATCTGAGCAAAGCACCCACTGGCATCAACAAACGACTCTCAACCCTCCGAATTGACCTTGCCAAAAACCAACAGGCAACCATTATAAGTGCCTATGCACCAACACTAGATGATGAAAACATCAAGCAAAAAGCCACTCTAAACACTTTCTCAGAAGCATACGAGAAGCTCGGCCTGTCATTGAACATCGAGAAAACCAAAGTGCTGTTCCAGCAGATACCAGGCAGCCCCTCTCCAATGCCAGCGATACAGCTTAATGGTGTAACACTAGAAAATGTTGATCATTTCTGCTACCTTGGCAGCTCCCTCTCCACCAAAGTCAACATCGACACCGAAATACAACACCGCCTGAGCTCTGAGAGTGCAGCATTTTTCCGAATGAAGCAGAGAGTGTTTGAGGACTCGGGGTTGAGCATCAAGCCAACCCCGATCGAGACCGCCTCCCATCTGGAAACCGATGCCCTCACTGTGGGAGAAGATGCAGGTCAAGAATAGGGCTCCCACAGCCACCTACGAACCCACCCCCAGGACACTGAACTTGGAGGACTATCATCCTTGGTCTACGAGGGATCGCCTAAGACTAAGACTAAGAATGTTTGCCATGTATATGTACATTTTAATCCACCTTGAGTCCCCTGTGGGGTGAGAAGGATGGAATATAAATGCTGTAAATAAATAAAAAAGGTGAAGGAAGCAACATGATCCAGCTTAGGTACACCCTTGGATTCTGGCCAGTGCATTTCATCCACCAGTTTGCTTTTTTATTCATTCTGAAGGATTCATACCTTTGAAAAGCAAACTGCACATTATGGCCAACTTGCTTTGCAATAGTAGTGTTTAAATTTCATTTTTTCTCAAGAAAATGGAGCTCCAGGGTTCCAGTCCAGAAGACACCTCATATTGAGGTTCTGTAGTAGCTTCCTCCTAGACATTGCCACCCTGTTTCCATTAATTGTGCCAAAAATTTGTAGCCAAACAGCATTTTTATCAACAGCAAGATAGCAATTTGGAGACTGGAAATTGGGGTGTAACAGGTACAAGGTCATGGCGTAATGCTATAGAATAATGCGAATTGTAGTTTTTCAAGGTCTTTACTATTCATTGTCAAATACTTCTGGTGCTTTACCAAAGTACAACGGGCATGATTTCATAGCATTAAGCCATGACTTACATTGGTGTCAAACTGCATTAATTCTATAGTGTAGATGCACCCTGAGCTCTTGGAAGAAGAGTAGGTAATCTGCATATGTTCCTCCAGTATCCTTAAATCAACTCTCCATGAATAGAAAGGAAGCTGGATTGGATGAGGAAGCAGGCTTTTGAGCCAGCGGACCATGAAGAAGAGCCCTGGGAAGAAGAGCACCTTATCTGCAGATTTTTTCCAGAAGCCTTTGCTGAAGTTGCTGTGAGCAGAAATCAAGCTCAATAGTAAAAGATAAAGGATCTCACAAGGCCAGGAAGATATTGCATGTGAATGACTAATAACAAAAATGGTGCTGTTGTGAGAAATGTGACTTCTTAGGCTATGATCTTCACTTTTTAGAGGAAAGACTACTGGTTACAACATACTAATAATAATAATAATAATAATAATAATAATAATAATAATAATAATAACAACAACAACAATAATTTATTTATTTATACCTCACCACCATCTCCCCAAGGCCAGGAAGATATTGCAAGTGAATGACTAATAACAAACATGGTGTTGTTGTGAGAAATGTGACTTCTTAGGCTATGGTCTTCACTTTATAGAGGAAAGCATACTACTCCTCTGTTGCACCAGCTCCACTGGCTGCCAATTAGCTTCCGAGCACAATTCAAAGTGCTGGTGTTAAGCTATAAAGCCCTAAACGACTCCAGCCCAGTTTACCTGTCCGAACGTATTCTCCCCTATGAACCATCAAGATTGTTAAGATCGTCTGGAGGGACCCTGCTCTTGGTCCCACCAGCCTCACAAGCGTGTCTGGTGGGGATGAGGGACAGGGCCTTCTCGGTGGTGACCCCTCAGCTCTGGAACTCTCTCCCACTGGAGATCAGAACTGCCCCTTCTATCTTGACGTTCAGAAAACAGGTGAAAACTTGGCTCTGGAAATTGGCATTCCACGAGTGAGTCAATATTATGTGATATGGATGGATGATGACGAACAACGATTTTATTGTGACAACTGACCATTGTACTTATATGACTGCATTTTGCTATTTTAATGTTTTTAGTTTAATATGCAATATGATGTTTTTTAAGGCCTGTTTGTGATATTACTGTTGGAAACCGGCCTGAGTCCCTCGATGGAGGTGAGAAGACCGGTATACAAAACTGCAAAATAATATAAAAAAAACCAAAAAAACCCAAAACCAAAACCAAAAAATAAAAAAAATTAAAAATTAAAAATTATTATTATTAATAAGAATTTATTCCCTGCCACCATCTCCCCAAGGCCAAGAAGATATTGCAAGTGAATGACTAATAACAAAAATGGTGCTGTTGTGAGAAATGTGACTTCTTAGGCTATGGTCTTCACTTTTTAGAGGAAAGACTACTGGCTACATAGTAATAATAATAATAATAATAATAATAATAATAATAATAATAATAATAATTTATTTATACCCTACCACCATCTCCCCAAGGGGACTAGGAGCGGCTTACGTGAGAACAAATACATCATTACAACAACAAAGCAAGCAAGCAATAAAACAATACAGCAAGATTTGCATAAAAGATGTCAACAAACAAGACTTTAGATGTGCAGAGTTTGGGAAATAAACAAGTTGAGCTATAAATCCTAATCCAGGAAGATAAATATGACTTTCTAGGTGTTAAATAGATTTTTTTTTGTCGTGTCAGGCGCGACTTGAGAAACTGCAAGTCGCTTCTGGTGTGAGAGAATTGGCCGTCTGCAAGGACGTTGTCCAGGGGATGCCCGGATGAATTGATGTTTTTATCATCCTTGTGGGAGGCTTCTCTCATGTCCCCGCATGAGGAGCTGGAGCTGATAGAGGGAGCTCATCTGCCTTTCCCTGGATTCGAACCTGTGACCTGTCGGTGTTCAGTCCTGCCAGCACAGGGGTTTAACCCACTGCGCCACCGGGGGCTCAGTTAAATAGATTAGAATATAACAATTGAAGGAAATAATCTGTTCAAAAAGATTAGATAGAAAAGAAAAAGAGAGAAGTAGCATTGTAGGTCCAAGACAGATACACTTGTACAGACCTTATTAAAAGGGAGAGATAAGATTTCAAACAGTTTTTTCTTCTTCTTAGAGGAGGTGCACATGTTGGCCAGATAGTCAAATAATACCCACATTACAGAGAGATTTCTCAGTGCCGTCTTGGGCAATGAGAAACTTCTAAATCATCCTAGCTATCCAAAAACATGTAAAGTAAATTGGCCTTTTTCTTGTGCCAAAGCAATCGCATTTCCACAATGTGATTAACATTTAATAGCGACCTCTATAGAGGGCAAGATTCGGAAGAGC